TGCCATCGCTGTTAAGAACGCAGAGCCCCTACCCTGCATTGACGACCTATTGGATAGAGTGTAGGGATGTCAATACTTTACTAAGATAGATCTAAAGTCTGGATACCATCAAATTGCCATTAGACCTGAGGACCAACACACCGTTTTTCAGACAAGGTATGGTCTGTACGAGTTTGTGGTGATGCCCTTTGGCCTATGCAATGCCCCTGGGACATTCCAACACGCCATGAATAAAATATTTCACGAGTACTTAGACAGGTTTATCGTTGTGTACCTCGGCGATATCCTTATCTTTAGTAAGACTGTAGAGGAGCACGCTGAGCACTTGAAAATAGTGCTAGGTCTCCTAAGACAGCACCAGTACAAGGTAAACTTGGAGAAATGCGAGTTCGGTCGCACCAAGATCTTGTACTTGGGTCATGAAATCTCCGCGAATGGGTTGAGGCCGGACAATGCCAAAGTGGCCAGCATACGTGACTGACCCAAACCTCAGACTGTTACTGAGGTCCAATCGTTTTTGGGGATGACGGGCTACTATCATCCGTTTGTTAAAAACTACAGTACTATAGCCTCCCCATTAACAAACCTAACTCGCCTTGACACCCCTTGGGAGTGGATTGAAGAATGTGAAGCAAGCTTCAAGAAGTTGAAGTATGCTTTGACACACTACGAAGTCCTCAAACTTTCGGATCCTGATAAGCCATTTGTCGTGACCACAGACGCCAGCCAATATGTCATAGGCGCGGTCCTTGCGCAAAAGGAGGGGCCAAAGTAGAGACCTATCGAGTATATAAGTAAGGAGATGTTGTCTCAAAAGCTAGCAAAGTCCACGTATGAGCGTGAGCTCTATGCCCTCTACCGAGCGCTGGTCCATTGGAGACACTACCTCCATGAGACCTTGCTGGATCAAAACACAGTCTGTACTTTCTGACGCACTTAAGCAGTGGATTCAAGTGATAGACATGTATGACTATCAACTTGATCCAATCAAGGGAGAGTACAACAAAGTGGCTGATGCACTATCACGAAGGGCTGATTACCTGGGCGCACTAGTGACTGAGTTTGGTATATCTGACACGATGTAACTCGATCCTTGGTGGAAGCCTATAAGCAAGATCCAATCATGTCTGAGATCATTCATAAATTTCAAGCGAAGGATAAGGTAACCTCCGATGAATTTACGATGGTAGATGGCTTACTGTTTCTTGCGAAGGCAGGGAATAAAAGACTGTGTGTTCCAGGTAGAGAGTTTTTACGTCGTTTATTTTTAAGCGAATGTTATGATGCAACAGGTCATTTCGGCTATAGGAAAACGTCAACTAACTTAGTGCAGAAATTCTGGTGGCCTTCTATGATGGAAGATGCCAAGAAGTATGTCGAAACCTGCCAGGTCTGTCAACGGGACAAACCTAGGACTCAGGCTCCGCTTGGGCTCATCAAGCCCTTGCCGATTCCTGAAGGTCCTGGTCAGAGTGTGTCCATGGACTTCATGGATACTCTTGTGACTAGCAGGTCTGGGAAAAGGCACATCTTTGTTATAGTAGACCACTTCTCTAAGTATGCAAGACTAATCGCTATGCCCGAGACTTCGGTTTACCCAAGTCTATCGTTAGTGACCGAGATGTATGTTTCACAAGCGAACTGTGGCAAAGCACAACCCAACAGATGGGAACCAGACTGGAGATGACATCAGGGAATCACCCTGAGTCAAATGGACAGGTGGAACAAATGAACCGAGTAGTGCAGCATTTATTAAGGCACTACATCAAGCCAAGTCAAGATGACTGGGACGAGAAACTACCTCTCGTCGCCAGCCTGTACAACAATGTTGTACACAGCACGACTAGCATGACTCCCAACCAACTGCATCTTGGTTGGAGGCCTCGTACCGCCTTAGATTTCCTACTACCGGAAACTCAGCCGTCTGTATCACCTGGCAGCATAGAATTCGCTGTCAATTACGAGCAGATGCTGCAACAGGCTACATAGCACATTAAGAAAGCTCAAGATGCCATGGTGGCATCTGAGAACAAACATAGACGACCATCTCAGTTTCAGGTAGGTGAACGGGTCTGGGTAAAACATCTGAGCTGGGACAGGAACTAGGCATCTCAAGAAAGCTAATGCCACAGTACTTCGGTCCTTGGCAGGTTCTAGACATAGTGGGAGATCAGATAGGCGGACCTTCCTATGTGATTCGCATCCCACCACATCTACGTACACACCCTGTTTTTCACGCCTCAAAGCTGGCACCTTTTGCAGAAACTGCACAGTTTCCTTCCACACGGTCAATGCTGCCCCCAACCATGGATGGTGAAGTTGACATCGACGGAATTGTGGAGCATCAAGTGATGCCAGTGCCTAAACCGCCGGGCAGAGGCCGCCCTCCTGAGCCAAGAATGAAATACTGTGTCAAATTCAGGCACCATCTGGATCCCAGCGAAGATCGGTGGTTCACCAGAGAAGAACTCATGCGAACAGCACCTCAAGTTATTGCAAGCTATGAAAGAGAACTCAAAGGGAAGATGCCTGCAGATTAGAAGACTTCTCAGAGGACTATCGAAGAAGCGGAGGAGGGAATGCGAGGATCTGGGTCCTCGGCAGGCCTAAGGGGCACCTGCTTCAGACGTGCCTGCCCTAACTGAAGGCGGGCCTAACAAATCACGAGAGGCCCTAAGCTGTCAATTTCGTATTTGGGGTCCAGGCAGTTTCGTCGCGCCAGTTGGTTGAGGGAAACACAGGCCAAGCAGCGAGACCTTCCACGACCTTCCAGGCCTTTCGAAAATTGCAGGCCCTGGGCGAGAATCGCAACCTCATACACAGGCAGCTGGGAGGCCCAACCGAACGGAGGCCCAGCAGCAGCATCGGAGGCACAGCCTCCTGGGGCCTACCGGAAGATTCTGGCCGGAGGTCGAGGCCAGCCAGGCCGTCGAGAGAGACAGGCTCTTGGCCAGGCATTCAGCACTTGCATGCTGGCGGCAGCGCTGCAGCGCTGCTGGAGCGGACGCTCGTAGGCTGCTGCTGGCACTGACAGGCAAGGTGCTAGCGCGTGCGGTCGTGCAGGAAGCAGGGCGCTGCTGAGGGCAGCGCCATAGCCCATCCTCCATAGCTGGATGGGCTTGGACTACAGTGAGGCGCAGGGGTGGTCTTCGGGTGTACAGAGGGAAGATGTGGGAGTAAGTCAGAGAAGAGAGAGAAGGATGATGATGATGATGATGGGAGGGCACATATCTGGTATTGGCGATGATCTGCATTGGGCGACATCTTCGAGTACTTTGTGGGATGCTGACGTCAACAGTTGCATTGTAGGCAGACTGTAGCTGTGTAAGAAGTAGGCTGGGCGCCGAGTGCCAAGTAGGGAGATAGGGCCTGAACACTCATGTTGGTGGTGGCGAAAGCAAGCTCTCATTGACATTGGTTTTCAGTGTTACGATTCTTCATTGGTGTTATATTGGTGCATTTCTGCTTTCTGGACACTGTGATAATATCTGGCCTTCAATGTGATTGTGCATTCTGGACATTGTCATCTCGCTATTGCTCATTTTCCTTGCAGTTTTGTTTTGGCGTCTTTTGGCGGTTTCCGAAGTTTAATGTGTCAGCTTTCAAAACAAAAACTGAATTGGAATTAATCGCTGCAGTAAAAGGATTCGAACCTTTGCATGTCGGTAATATGACTCCGGGAGCAACACTCACGATCAACTGGTTCTGAAAATTGAGTCAGCAATTACAAGCTGGTAAATTTGAGCCACAAGCGTGGACTTGTCTTATCGTACAGAAAGCCCTCACCGTGGTGCTGGGCAGCATATATACGATCCAGAATTTCTGGACTGTTCTCACGTGAAGCTCAAGCAATCAACTTTTAGTTTCAAAAAGGCGTTCGATGGACGAAATTCCACAGGTCGTATCACCCTTTTCCATAGAGGCTCCCACACACAACGATTGCAGCGTAGAATTGAATTTCAACGTAACACTTCGTTGACGGGTAAGGTAGAAAGAATCGAATATGATCCAAATCGTTCCTCTTGGATTGCCCTAGTATGCTGGTACTCTGGAGTCTGGATCTACCCAACCCCAACATCAAACAGTGTATACAAGATTTAATTATATAATATATATTAGCTTGTGATAAATTAAAAACAGGTAGCCCAGTCATGAATAATGTGCATAGCTTTGGGAACCTGGAGCAAGCCTTGGGAAATTGTGTACAATTAGCATATATACCAATGGGTACTCTGATTCATAATATTGAATGGAATCCAGGCCAAGGTGCCAAATTCGTTCGGGGATGCTCCACCATACCTGCCAGCTCAGCAAGGTGTAGTATTAGTAGGCAGAGAAGCCTAGACTCCCTAGAGAGTGAGATATTCAGGAAGTTAGGAAGGGAGATCTTTCGGACATTGATTTGTGGTCATTCATTCATTCATTCATTCATTCATTGTCATGATATTTTGTAATAAAGAGGAGGAGGAGTTTGTGAGGCATAATGCTGATGTTGATGATGATGATGATGATGATGATGGAGGTGGACAGAAGACAGGAGGACGCATTGGGTCAATCTTGTGCTCTTCTTCTTCTTCTTCTTCTTCTTCTTCTTCTTCTTCTTCTTCTTCTTCGTCGTCGTCGTCGTCGTCGTCGTTGTCATCTTCTTCTTCATCTTCTTCTTCTTTGCTTCGTACTCGTCTTTCTTTATCTCTTTCAGTTCTTCTTGATTGGTGATGGATGACAGAGTCTCAAACATGAGTTTTGCATCAAGAATGTGGCAGGGTTCCAAGTTATAACATATGTGTTTGGACCCCTCCCAGGCCTGGTGTGAGATCGGATCTGATTCACACTGTCATTGTGCTGCATTTTCTCAGGTCAGTCCTATCTGATTGGAGTCTTCAGTTGTGTGTGATATTACACCTCTTCCTCATGTTGGTGACCTTTGGACTTTGCATTGCCTCAGACCACTACCGAGCATCCATCACATCTCTGGATGGTTGCAATGTTTGCTGCCTCACCGTGGAAATGATGCATCTACCGATAGATCGCAAACCACACGCTTGGCATCTACATTCCACGCCTTTATTCCGCCTTCTGCTGTTCCCATCAGAAGCTGAGATGAGAAACCGGAACCGCCAACCAAAACAACAACACATCATTGTCGACAAAAAAATCCACACGTGGTCAGTCAGGCACACACTAGTGCACCAGATCGGCACAAAAACTCACAATGGCTCATACACAGATTCAAACACCATTCCAACCAAAACCCACAAGCTACTCAGTCGGTAAACAGTACTAAACACCCATGACCTGTTGATAAGTGACCTGAGTTTGAACCCAGATGCAACCAGATGTTACTAAAACTAGTAAAAAGAGGAAAAATGAGAAGAGAAAACAAGTTTAAAAAACACAAGAGATCAGGCACAGACTCTAGCACCATCGGAACAAAAAACCACAAGGGGTAAGGCACACAGATGGAAACAACATGGTGACTAAACCCCCTCCTCTAGATCAGACGATGGACTCGCACAACATCTGAACAAAACACCACAAGAGATGAGGAACAAGGACAATGCATCCCCTGAAGAAACAGCATCACAACCCCCTACTGATAGACATGATGACAGCCATGGGCTGCTCATCCATCGAACCCATGTCGAGCATCTGAACCACGTTGACGAAGACCCTTACAACTACCATCTTCTCCCAAACACAATGCGCACCCTAATCATGATTGTATACAAGCTATCTGTGCGGTCAGATGCAGTCAGAGTGAGGGTGCAAAGGTGTGCTGTATTTGGGGGGAGATTGTAGTTCAAGAGGTTAATAAGCCCCCTCACTTACATCACACCAACAAGTGTAGTTTTTGTGACTGACATGGCAGTCCCAAAAACAGTTTGAAATTGCACTTCAGGCATTCCCCCGAACATAACACACCCTCTCTCAACCCTACTGGACCGGAAAGCTAGCTAAATATACATTCGTTCGTTTTGGGTTCATTTTGAGCAGCTGTGGGCATGGTACTTGTATCTTAGTTCCAATGGCCAAAGGCTTTGTACAATCCTGTCATTCATTCATTACACCACATCACCCACGGTGTTTTCTTTGTTGTTGTTGTTGTTGAAAAACGGCGTTCCTTTGTTGTTGTTGTTGTTGTTGTTGTTGTTGTTGTTGTTAAAAAAAGGCGTTCGTTACAACCGGGTCCAACGTCCCTGTCAGGATGTACTTTAGTTCCGATGATCAAGGCTTTTGTACAATCCTGTCATTATTGTGCAGAGCCCTGAAACGCAGGAACCAACAAATGACAACAAAAGGGTCGTGTCGATCATCGGGAAGCGACCACGTTCACAACTGTGCACAGCCACAAATGACGACACTGTTAGCAAACGGGGTGAAGGTGATGAAAATCATGAAACACATTCATTACTTACCAAGCGGTCCGATTTGGAATCCCACTCCAGAGAGAGCACTTCTGCGCCGCAATACAGTGTTGCATTCCGCGTCGTGGGCATGCCCACCTCATATGTCCATATTCTGTCAAACATAGCAGCAGTGCAGCACACAAAAGAAGGCACAGAAATTGTGCACTGAGCAGTCAATTCTTTGAATTTCTTTTTTCTTTCATTCTTTCTTTCTTCTTCTTATTCTTTTTCTCTTGAACTGTCAGATGGCAATAATGACAGTTTTTTTAACTTTCTTTTTTTTTTTTTTTTTGTTGCAAAAGGAGGCCGGGAATCCCTCCACATCTCAACCCGGTGTACTGGGGCCATTGCCCAGCTTTGGCTTGGCTTCCTCTGCTTCTTCTTCTTCTTCTTCTTCGTCTTCTGCTGCTGCTGCTGCTGCTGTTGCTGCTGCTGCTGCTGCTTGACTGCAGTGGTGTCAGATGTGAATTTGTGTGAAACAGTAATATAATTCGTAAGGGCATAAACTACCCACATATCTCTTGTATAGATAGCACGAGGTGTGTAGGTAGCTAATCTAGAACTCCCTGACCACGGTCCTGACCAAGATTACATCGCCAGATGCCTAGCAGGCTCTTGGCTGTGAATATTCCACTCAGGCATATCAAGCTCTACAACTATATAGCCATAGCAAACAAAATAATAAAATATCCAGCATGTTTCTAACTTCCTTCTTTTATTCTAGGGAGATTTTCAAAAAGTAAATGAAAAAAAAAGAAACTTAAGAAAAAGGTATGCTGTGTCAAAAGAGTCCAATTGCAAATACAAAGTTGTGGCTGGGGGTCAGTCCATACTCCTCGCTAAACCCCGCGATCGGCGATGGGACATGCGACAGTGCTGCTCTTCTGTGCTAGCGCCCGAGTGGTAGCGCTTCGCCGTCGTGAGCGGCCGGCACCCTGGCCACCGCCGGAAACAGGCTCTCCCGGGCGCTGCGATACAGGTTGGCCTGCGTTAGCCCGGCTGGAAGGGGCGCCCCACCTGTAGCAGAGGTGTTCTATGCCGTTACGGCGTGAGCGAATGTGAGGCTGACAGCTTTGATGGGGAGTCGCTGAGGGTTGGGCTTTTTTGTTGTTTTGTCTTGTACACCAAAATAAATGAGAATCGTTCTTGATTTCGATAATTCAAAGAATACAAGTTTGAGGAAACCTTCGAGAAAAAGTTGCCCAAAATAACGTTTGGCGTCGCATATCGTTGTTGTTGTTCTGTTTTTTTTTTTTTTTTTTGACTTCATAATCTTCATTCCTCTGGAGTCGAACTCGGGCCTGTATTTAGACAGCTCATGGGTGTACCAAGTGAGCTAGAGCGGCTGTTACCCTCTTACTAGGCTCTTAGCATATTTTTTCCTGCCCCCAACAACATTTAGTACACCCTATTTGACGAGAGTTAAATTCCCATAATATTGCTCAGGACTATAGAAAAATAGTAAAGAATCTAAAGATAGATACTGTATTGGCCCCATTTCTTGTCATATTTTCTGAAAGTTTCTCCCTTTCTACGTAACATTCACAGGGAAGTTCTCCCTGACAATATATACAGCACCCATTTCTTGGCTTTTCTCCGTTTCTACCAACTGCTCACCACGCAGATCTCTTTGGCTGCTGTATATTGTCACATATATATTGTCAAACACAACTGCCCCGTAAACCGTAGGCAGAGAGGGAGAAGAGGATAACAAACGAGGGGCCGTGACAAACTGTTTTGTCGGAGTTTCACCGACTCATCAGGAGGCTGAACCCTCAACAGTCTGCAGAATCCCCTAACTGATTACACTGTAAGTGATAATCCACCTTAACCACGGTTGTGGTTAAGCATCAATGACTGCCCGGCAACTGATTCCCTGAGGTGCGCACCAACCACTGCCGTCAAGGTACCTGTGACGAAAATCAAAGCAGACTGCCACCACACCAGATGGAAAGCTCTGCAGACTGTCGGTTAACACCCCATCACAAGCCAGCAAAACACCCATGAAACAAAGGTAGGTCTGTCACAGCAAAAGAATACCACTCCAGACACGCCGCTGGCACTAGCGGCACGGCATGGCCGCGTAGTGACTGCCTCGACCACTGACGCTCAACCTGGCCAGAGAAAACCGTAGCAGGGTGCTATCGAAGTCGTGGTACATATTGTCAAACAGAACTGCCCGTTAAACCGTAGGCAGAGAGGGAGAAGAAGACAAACAATTATTTTGTTGTCCTCTTCTCCCTCTCTGCTTACGGTTTACCGGGCAGCTCTGTCACAAAGATATATATATATTCTATTTGACGATATATACATATACATATACATATAATATATATATTGACGATATATATATGAGTCGGTGAAACTCCGACGAAACAGTTTGTCACAGCCCCTCGTTTGTTGTCCTCTTCTCCCTCTCTGTCTACGGTTTACTGGGCAGCTCTGTTTGACTATATATAATAATGTATATATATATATCGTCACAAACATATATACTACGAGGCCATGCTGTGCCTCTAGTGCCAGCGGCGTGTCTGGAGTGTATTTTTTGGCTGTGACAGACCTTTCTTTGTTTCGTGGTTGTTTTGCTTGCTTGTGATGGGGTGTGAACCGACAGTCTGTAGAGTTTTCCATCTGGTGTGGGTGAGTGATAGTCTGCTTTGACTTTTGCCACAGGTACCTTGAGGGCAGTGGTTGGTGCCCACCTCAGGGTATCAGTTGTCGGGCAGTCGTTGATGCTTAACCACAGCCGGGGTTAAGGTCGATTATCACTTACAGTGTAATCAGTTAGGGGATTCTGTAGACTGTTGAGGGTTCAGCCTCCTGATGGGTCGGTGAGACTCCGACGAAACAGTTTGCCACAGCCCCTCGTTTGTTGTCCTCTTCTCCCTCTCTGCCTACGGTTTACCGGGCAGCTCTGTTTGACTATATATAGTGTATATATATATGTTTGATGATGATATATATATATATTATATATATATCGTCACAAACAGAACTGCCCGGTAAACCGTAGGCAGAGAGAGAGAAGAGGACAACAAACGAGGGACTGTGACAATATATATATATATATATATCGTCAAATAGAACTGCCCGGTAAACCGTAGGCAGATAGGGAGAAGAGGACAACAAACGAGGGGCTGTGACAAACTGTTTCGTCGGAGTTTCACCGACTCATCAGGAGGCTGAACCCTATANGTTTCACCGACTCATCAGGAGGCTGAACCCTATATATATATATATATATATCGTCAAATAGAACTGCCCGGTAAACCGTAGGCAGAGAGGGAGAAGAGGACAACAAACAAGGGGCTGTGACAAACTGTTTATATATATATATATCGTCAAATAGAACTGCCCGGTAAACCGTAGGCAGAGAGGGAGAAGAGGACAACAAACGAGGGGCTGTGACAAACTGTTTCGTCGGAGTTTCTATATATATATACATACATATCAACTAATAGAGTGCACATTGCGAAGCAAAAGACAAAAGTACAGAAGACAACACTACAACCATTCTTTTAGATAAAGTACCGAGTACTATTTACCACAATATCCTCGTCTTATTGTTGCACACATGTCTCATCCCAACAACATCTCCACTGAGTTTCGTAATGATGGACCGCCATCCATATCCAACATACCCTGAGAATCGCAGTCTCTCTGCGAAGTACAGCACAAACAACGTACAGGTCACGGAATTCAAAAGCTAGAATTCAGAAGCACTATCGCATGACCACAATACAGATCCACTCTGAAGATTTCAAATCAATGATCAATCACAATTTCACAACTATTTTCATAACAAAAAACAAAACGAACTATTTTCATAACCAAAACAAAACAAAAAGAAAAACGGTCACGTGCGGCCACATACCGGACAGTACCATCAACAGAGGCACTTGCAACATTCGCTCCTGACACAGACAATCTGCACCGAGTAATGGGGCTAGTATGGCCGGAGAATGCAGCCTGCACATATATTCAGTAGAACAATACACAGGAGTTAAAAAACAAAACAAAAACGAAACAAAAACAAAACAAAAACAATCAACAAAGACTCGTCTGATATCTTCCTCCTGACTCCGAGTCAACGACGGAGGGAACAGCGACAAGTTGAAAAACAGAAGCAAGAAGACAAAATCACTGGAAAACTGCACATCAAAGTACTTATATATAGATATTAATATCAAATACAATATAGATAATATGACCTCCATGGGGGGGGTGCAGTCGGTGACTCATCCCCGGCAAGCGGTTACCCATGATAGTCCTGCAAAGTCGCATCAATGTGTATGAGAGGCATTCTTGGCCAAGGGAATGTGTAGGTTTCAATTTTGGAAAACAGGCAACAGGCAAAGCGAAAAAGGGGAAAGCTAGCCACCCGTAAGGGTAGGCTGTCTCTCTTTTCTGTCTGATCTCCTCCTCTGCTTGTTTACAAATTGTTTCAAAAACTTTGTTTGTCGGTGATAAGCAGCTGGGATTTGTTAAAAAAAAAAAAAAAAAAAAAAAAAAAAGAGGGAAAAATTAGCCGATGGAGTAGACTTATCAATAAGCCAAGACATTACGCTCCATGGGTTTCAATCATACTTGCGGCGCACCGACCCTGTGCGCTGCACGGTGCGCCGCGCGCTGTGCGGTGCGCGGACCCGAGGTGCGCGCGCACCGGCGCGCGCCGTGCGCTGCGCTCAGGGCCGGTGCGCTGCGTGCTGGATGCGCGCTGGCGGGGCGCAGGTGCGCCGGGTGCGCACACCATTTTTTTATTTTATTTTTTTTTACTGTTTGTTTAGGGATTTATTTTACTGTTTTTCTATTTTAGGGAGAGAGAGAGAGAGAGAGAGAGAGAGAGAGAGAGAGAGAGAGAGAGAGAGAGGTATCCAACGTCGCGGCTGGCCTCCTGGTACTTCCATCGAAACGACGAGCAAATTCGAGTGAATGTACCGCTGCAACATGGAAATATACACCGCCACATTTGTGTGTGTGTGTGTGTGTGTGTGTGTGTGTGTGTGTGTGTGTGTGTGTGTGTGTGAGAGAG